CTGTGTCCTGACCACTGTATTGGCCTGGGTTAACTTACAGCCCAATTTCAGCAGCCCCAGAGGTCAGTGGGGCACAGTTGGGGCACAGCTGGTACACAGGAGGGTCTGCAGCTCCTGCTCAGGGCTGTGCCAGGTGCTCCTGGGCTGCAGTTTCTGAAGAACAAGACAGGGAGGATGGAGCATGAGCCTTGCATTGTGCCTTGTGTGGCCTTCCCCAGCACTGTCTCTCCAAGCTCCATGGAGGTGGGAGCAGCAGACATGTCCCTGCTGCCTGCAGCACATCAAGCCAAGTCCTTCCATCCCACCACGACATTGCTTGTGCCTCTCATGCCTTGGCTGCTCTGTCCACTGCCAACTCTGCACTGATCTCAGCCCCTCCTGGCACAGAACACAAAGTGCCCAGGCATGCTGAGGCTTTTACAAGTGGGTCCCTGTTATCCTACTGCACCTGCTGCCCCACTCCAGCCCTTGTAGGCTTTGGCTCTCCCTCCTGCAGGGGCTGGTGACTCCTCCCTTGGCCACCTCTGCCAGGTGCACTCGGTGATGAGGACAAATGTTTGCATCGACTCAGGACTTTGGATCAGTTTTTGTGTATATAAGGCAGAACTGCTTTTCCTTTTTATTTTTTAGGCATTGGTGAAAATAAAAAAGAGCAGGAAACTCATGTGACACAGGTCTGTTGCTGTTCCTCCCAGCCCATGGTGCTGTGGCAGGAGAGGAATGCCAGCTCCAGGGTCACACTGGCACCAATGCCCTTGAGCGCATCCAGGGTTGGGAAGGGTGTCTAGAGGCAGCAATCTTGCCCATGTAGCATGTGTTCTACCCATCCCACAGGGGCATTGCTGGCAGTGGCATTGCTCATATCACGGCATGGCACTACCACGTCCCATCCCTTTGCCACCAAGAGGGATGGCAGTGCTGGGTGACCTGGTACCGGCAAACCCACAGCCTGGAGACAGAGAGGAGAGGGTGAGGCCGTGCTTGGGCTGGTGGAGGCCAAAGAACAAGGCCAGCTGCCCACAGACGTGGCTGCCTGCCATTGGTGCCTCCTGGTCTCTAATCTCATTTTATGGCTGTTGATGGGATGAATATCCTCCTTGTCCAAGATGAACAAACAGAGAATGAGGATGTAAGATAGTGCTTGGGACAGCTGGCATCGGTGCCTGACACTATCCCCTCTCCATCCCAGCAGCATCCCCCTGGTCCAGCAGGACATTAAGCAAAGGGCTGCCCTTGAATCCTTCCTCCAGCCGCAAAATGTGCCAAGTGTTGCTTGGGAAGAGGTGGGGATGTGTGTGCCAAGGTGCCAGGGCAGGGCAGGTGGCTATGGAGGGACACTTGAAGCAGGATAAAGTCCTTGTGGGTGGAGGGGATGGCAGAGCAGGAACAGGATGAGGTGGCATTGCAGAGAGGACAGAGCAAAGGGTTTGTTCCTGCACTTGCAACAGCAGCTGCACCTACCACTGCACCCTGGTGACCCCGTTACTCACCAGCAGGATGCCAGGCTGCCCGTGGCATGCTCCTGCCACCTCTCTGCACACCTGCAAGGGGACATGGGGATTCAGGAGCTAAAATGGGCAGGGGGAGGCTAAGGCAATGGAGCTGGTGCCATATAGGGAAGGGATGAGACTGGATAGGTCACCTGCCCACAGAGCTGGGTTGGACTGGGGAGACTGGGGCAAATTCTGTGTGCAGACTCCAGCATGGTCCCAATGCCAAGGGCTGATTCCTCCACTCTTATCGTCCTCCCTCAGTGGGCTTTGGCTGCCTTCAACATCCAATCTTGTCAATGCCACATGGGGACCAGCAGTGGGATCCTGCCCCTGCAGAAGCTTGGTGGGATGGCAGCCCAGCACTTGGTATCACTGTCGTCTTCAAGGGGAAACCTGGAAGGGAACATAGTCCTGGGAGGGATGAAATGTGCATCTCCCAAATACACCTGCAGTGCTGGGTTGCTTGTGAGTAGATCAGGGGCTGGGCTAGAGGGAAGATGCTCCACCACCCACCCAGAGAGGCTGCGGGTGCCGTTGACAGGATGAAATTCCAACTGATACCCTAATCTGGCGCCTGCCTGTTTGCTCAGCAGCAGGGTAAAAGTCCAGGGAGCCGTGGGCTGTGCCCTTGGGTCCCTGCCACCCGTGTGTGCACAGGGAGCCGGTGCTGGCGGGAAGAGGCAATAAATGCACCCACACACCCAGTCACCCCTTCCCCCTACACACACACACGCCCCTTGACCGGGTGACGAAATGCATCTGCTGCGTCCCTGCTCCCATGTCCTCCCCTGCCGCCCTGCATCTGCTGTTTGGGCAGGGATGGGCAAACTCCAGGAGGTTCCCCCTATGCCAGGAAAGGGGCTGGTAGACACTATGCCGCCACCACCAGCTTTGGAACCTTTGGTTCAAACCTCCTGGATGTGTGTCACCTTGACCGTTGTGCCCCCACAGGTGACTGACACTGGTTTTAGCACCTGCAGCAACTGTCTCCTGAGTCACACACCCCACACAAAGCCTGGTTCTCATGGGGACAGCCTGCCTTCACATCCAGTGGAGCCTGGGGAGTGTCCCCAGTAAGCCCCCACAAGTTCTTCGTGTTCCTTCCTCTGTGCTTTCCATCAGCTCCTGCTGCCCAGCTGCACCCCTCCTTGGAGAAATCTTGAAACCATCATCAAAATAAGGCCATGCACAGCAGGTGGCCAAGCACACTGCCGGCCTGCCAACAGCCTCCAGCATGGCACACTTCCCAGCAGTGACTAACCAGAGCACCACTGCCGTTGTCGCCTTCCTCGTGTCTGTGGTGCTGATCTGGGCACAGTCCCATCTTGCTGTCAACCATCTTCTCGTCTCTTCCCAGGTGGCTGACACATGGATGTAGGTGGGTTGCCCAGGCAGGGTGGGCAAGGGTGTTTCCCCAGCCTGTGTTCTGGCTTGTCCTTGTCCACTGATGTCAGGAAGTGCAGGCAGTGCCATTGCCTGTCAGCTCTGCATCAGGATGGAGAGACACATGTTTGCTTTCCCTGCTGTGTCTGTGATTCAGCCCATGAGAAGGGAAATATTTGCTTGATGTTCCAGGGGTGGCTCAGAGGTGGGGTGGGAGAAAGAAATACTTGCTAGACAGCGCTAGCAAGCCCTGTCTGTGCTCCCTAGTGTCAGCCCCTCAGGGATCAAGGCATGGGGACAGCTGTGCAACACTTTTGTCCTCCTCCTGAGTTCTCTTGAGGTTTTTGGGGTCCCTGGACTGCACTGTTCTTTCAGACTCCTGCTGCCTCTGGTGCTGTTCTATGAAGTGGATCTCTTGCCAGCTCCAGGGTAATGCAAGATTTGACCCAGTCCTGCAATGAGATGCTGGACCATCATAGATGCCCTGGGAGGGACATCAACTCCTTGATGGTCCAGGCAAAGGAGAGATGATGGTCATACTAGAGCAGCACTAGACAAACCAGAAAAGGCAGCTCTGCATGCAGAGCATCCCAGAAGAGTGGTATCAACATGGGCATTTCAGGCTAGCATCAGCCCTGAGTGTCTCTGCTGGCTTGGACACAAGAAGGAGGCTTGAAATCCACCCAGGAAGGTTGGGTGGTTTGTGCACGGTTCAGTCCACACTAGTGACATGGGGCTGGGACAGCTGTACCTCCAGCCTCTCCTCTCCTGTGCCATAGGGCTGGCCATGGGACATATCTCTTTAGGTGGATCCTGAGGGAAAAAGCCAAATAACTGATTCAGATTGCACAGGCATGAAAGGCAAACAAAGCATACCTGCCCTGCAGAGGAAGGGTGAGGCAGGACAG